TAATGAATGCCCTACTCTTTTGCATTGATTTTTGTGTGTGTGTCTGTGTGTGTGCATGTGTGCCTGGGAAGGATTTCTCATGGGGTTTGCTGTAAACAAGGAAAGCTAAATCCTCTGCCGAAGCTGCTTCTTCCACCTTTAAATAACCTCCATGTTAAAATATTTCAGGGGAGAATATGTTCAAAACTACTGAGAATGCAAAAAATAAGGAACAATGACTTGCATCCCAGCAAGTCTACTGGAAATTTGCAGAACAAGACATTAAACAATCATCCACCTTGATGTGGCAAAACAGTCACAGGAGTAGTATGTGTTAATTCCTGCTTTCAGAAACTAGCAGTAAATTCAAAGAGCAGGGTCAACAAAGTCGTAAAATTTTAAATTCATGACTGATTCCGGAACACACATTTTCCTTACACACCTAAAGGCTCATCTTGCAAGGCAAAATACGTTAACTAAAAAGTCTGCAAGCACCTAGAGACAGAAAAATAATGCATCTTAAGAAGAACTGTGCCACTTAGAATTTCTAAACACTTAAAATATTCTGGCCGGTTGAATCTCTGCTTTAGCGTTTTTCCTATTTCTTAACATAATGAACTATATACAATTTAAATGGAGATTCATTCTTCCATTTGAAGTGCTTTAAAATAATTCTGCCTATGAGCTCGAGATCTCAGCCCAGCATCTCCATAGTGCCTCTTCTCCAGTTTTCCTTGAGCTACATAAGTGGAACTGACAGATCACTGCTCAGATAGCAGCCACGTCCTTCCCCCAAAATGTTGCCTTTTTGCTATTCAGGAGTATCCTAATACCAACAAATGCTAAATGAAGTCTGACATGTACCCCTAAGAAACAAACTTGTAAGTTGTGGCTTCAAAGAAAACCTTGAATAAATAGGACACATTGTGTACACCCAGGCTAACATCCAACATATGCTTTAGTTTCCTGATGCTGCGACAGAGCAAGAATAGCCTCTGGTAAAGTCTGTGATTTGCTATTGCTGGTACTTCCAACATTTATAATGTACCTTTTTTTTTTTTTTTTTTTCCCTGCCTGTATAAACAATTTTAAAAATGTAATTAAGAAGACCACATCAACATTTCAGAACGCAACATATTCATGAATAATGGATTATCTGACATGCCACCAGTTTGATCAACAATTACAAAACAAAACAAAGAGCGTTCCTGATCTTTCCTCTGCAAAAGAACATTGCCACCAGTAAGTCGTAACTGGACAGGTGGTTTTATCAAATGAAAAAGTAACCTACATAATGAATGCTTTTAATTCTCCCTTTGGTGGTGGTGATCAACATGCCAAACAGCGAGATCCTGCTAGTAGGTGCTGTTAACAACTACAGATACAAAGAAAGTATGACAGCGACAGGAACAGAGAAAAGCAAGAAAACAAAATGAAACTACTTTTAACTGCACATAGAGAATCAGTTAAGACGTTCCATTCTTAAAAGGCCAATTTATTTATTCATTATTTAGGGAAGACAGAGAAGGGATGGCCAGAGAAGCTAAAGATGAGACCTACTTTTAAGATACATATATATATTATTTTTTTTTCACCATTATTTAATGCTCTATTTCACGACTAATCTTTCTGTAAGAACTAAAAGGGGCTTAATTCAATCATTTTATCCCCTTCTCTAAGTTCAATTCCCTTTCCCTTTTGTCCTCCATTCCTCCGGATTTAGGGCATGAAAGAATATCATGAAAGTATATCATTAAAATTCAAGCACAGTTATTTACAAGATCTAAAGTGTGCTTGCTGAAACATTATCACTTAAATTTACTGTGGACGGAATGCAGGTTATTTGCTCTCTATAAAATAATTGATGTGTTACAATGCAACACGAGCCCATCTATGCCATGGGCCATATGCCGACCTACAGAGGAGCCCCTACAGACAAAATTTCGTTCCGAAATCTGGCATGTTAAGAATTGATTTAACATTGTAGTTGGAAAGTTTTTATTCTGGATTAGGTGCAGCCTCAAAGCGCCTAAATGTGTATTATGAACTCACAGATTTGATACTTTAGTCCTTCAGAACCACGTTATTCTCCTAGGAAATTAAGTTTTGGTGGAGGTCTGAGAGTTTTTTAATTCTTTCACTGCCACACACCATTCCTTTAAATTCTGCATAAAAATGCAGATAGCTAAGCTGTAGTTTTATAAGGAAAGCAAAATAAGGCCAGATACACTAGCATGAACGAGTAGTTTCACTGGCAGCAAAATTTCAAGTCTGTTTTGGTATCTCTCCCCCCATTATTCCACGTCTGGCCAGCACTGCAGCTTTACCTCTGAAGGAGAATAGTTAAGAGTCTCTGCCAGATACCTGACTTCATGAAACTTGTATGAATAAACAGACTGATTGCGCAATTCTCTTTCTCCATTAAGCCGCTCTTCAATAATTTGTACAATTCTTTTTTGTTCTTCTTTTTTTCTACTTTACACTTTGTTTCCAATATGCAGTGTGGATTTGTTTCCCATTGCTTGGGAAGACAACAAAACCACCAGAGACATATCTCCGTCCTTCAGAATTCTGCACTGTATTGCTGCACAGATGTTTTCCACTAAAAGACCACATGGTATCTTGGTACTGAATTTTTACATTTATTGCAACACTTTTTAAAATAATTATCCGCCCAAGAAACTTGAAGACTAATTTTAAGGCTATCTTGTAAATGCACATCTTTGCAATGCTGGAGTAGTAAATATCTATGATACATCCAAACTATTTATTTAATCAGAAAAAAACTTCAATAGATTATAAATAGATTTCAAGTTATAGTGCTCTTAAGAGAAGTGTAATTACAGTTAAGAGAACCACTTCGTTCTTGCTCCTGGGATTCCTTAAAACAGTCTAAGGGATAGCTTATGATAATGCAAAAATAAATCTGAATCACTTCTAGGTATGCTATTTACAGCAGCTCTTGTTACAGTATACAAAAAAATGCCACATAATCCACAGAACCAAACACATTTTGGTTCTAAATAACCTCTTGTTTCCTCTAGACCTCAAAAATAAGATCAAGAAGATGCAGTCTCCATCAGAGATAAGAAAAAAATCAAGTGCACCCTTTAAATCTCACCCTACTCCTAAATAAAAACCTACACGTATATATTCCGCACATATATATTTTTTTTTTTCTCCATTCTGCTGGGCTCAGCATGAGACAACTTGCAATTATGAACATATGCTTTTGCCAGAAGCCTCATAAATACCATCCCAGTCCAGTGTGTTTCAAGAGTCCCTCCCACTTCTTCCCAGCACAAAAGCCCCTATTGATAAGCTGATGAATAGTGTAAATGCAGTTCTAAAAAGGGAAAAGAACCACCTTTATAATCAATTTTGTGTGAAGACCTTTCTGGTTGCCAAAAGGTCAGAAACTATATTTTCAGGTAAAAACTAACTAGAACTGTACCACTACTGAAGTAAATCAGTATTTAAGCTATTTATTCTTTGGAGGGCTCCTCCAAGCCTGCAAGGACTCGATGGCTTTTTGCCCTACCCTGAACACATTTGACATTTAGATATTACCTAGGTGGCCCCGTTACCAAGAAAGTTTTACCAAACTTTCTGTCTTGGAAGGGAAATAGAAGAGGACTGGAGAAGGAGGAATACCAGTCTAATTAAAAACACATCCTGTAACAGCTTACCTGTCAGCTGCAAAGAAAAGATATTCCACCCTCTAGCTGTGCCCACCTACCCAAGCGCATCAAGAACGCGGGTAGGACAGAATACCCTGGCACTCCGACTTCAGCACTGAACCTTCCAGCATCCGGAATCTGTACAAGTTGGGTAGTTTTTATATACTGTCTGAGGATGTAACCCGCATGACGTTTGAAAGTCCCGAGACACGGCAGTTTGGGTAAAGCTCAAGACAGCTGGACATCGACACGGGCACTAATACTCCAGACGAGCAAAGTTCTTGTCCCAAAGCCCACTAAGCCTTCACCAGCTTTGCTTCAGCCCGCCCCGTGTATGCGCCGAGTCCGGGGGGACAGAGTTAACCCCTCTGCCTGGCCGAGCCACTGCGGCCCCTCTGGCTGCACGGCTCTGCGAGGGACCCGCCGCCGCGCAGAGCGAGGCAAACAGGCGCATCCGTTCCTGCGCTGCAAACAAGGGTGGCACTCTTCCCGAACGTGAATACACCGCAGCGCTTCTGAACGCGAAAACTGCTATTTCGAGAGGGCTGCCGCGGGGTCTGTTAAACCATCCTTCTGTTTTGACTGAACATCAAAAGACTCGCGGAGAGCGGCTTTATTTTCTCCCACTCAGACACGGAATTTGTGCAAGCGCTACACACAAACATACCTAAAACTACCTGACACAACAGATTAAATAGCTCACGATGAAAGCATTTTTCCTCTCATGAATTTTTTAACCCTTTATTTACAGGGATTTTAACAGCCACCATTCATGCCTTCAAGCAATCTCTACTATTTGATTATAATTACAAGGAACGCTGCCTTTGCAGAGCAACCAATTTTACTGGTGATACAAAAAGTAATTGATCCAGGTCTCATCCAACCCACTGCAAGAGCCACAACCAGCAGCCAGATCATGTAGATAGGTTTGAAGTTATTTGCACAGTGGAAGTGCTTCAGCAAATCATTTAACATTACCGGAATTATCACATTTTCTTGACTTAGGGTACCTCGGAAGAAGTGCTCAGTCTGAGCAGTGTATAGAAAAATCATGCACAGCTGGAAAGTTATAGGGAATCCCCAGAACACTACAGTGCTTTCACATATCACTATACCTACTAGCCAAGAAAACTAATATATTCTCTCCTACATCCAGTAAGCTACTGTCATGGAAGACATAATTTATCTACCAAAGTAATGCTTACAAGGCAAGCTGAGACCTTCAAGTTGTTGATCTTCCCTTTAGAACGTCAGCGCACATGATCTACAGTTGCATACTTGTGTTTCGCCCCCCTTAGATGCAGCACAACAGAATAATGAAAGCACAGAAAGGCAACGTACCGTCATAGTAGACAATAGCCCCAACAAGCTCGTCTTTGCGTAGCATTGGAAAGAGCTCCAAGGCTCTCGACTTGCTAAGGACATAACTACTTTTCAGACACTGACTTCCTGCCACGAGGTCGTATAGTTTTATTCCAAACCAGTAGTATGGCAGCTGCCACCACCTGCAAGAAAAAAAAAAATTCCCCATTCAGTGAAATTAAAAAAAAAAAAAAATGCAATGCATTAAAGTGCATGCAGATGCTGTTGTTGTAATCCAGAAGTTGTTAAGTAACACAGTGTGCTGTATTACACCAGCTTTACTTTGTGCGGTCATACAAGCTCACGGTATCACAATATAATGTAAACACACAAGAGCTGTATGCAGTGTTTGCTACTGTTTTCAACGGATCTACTCACTGCAGTTAGTCAAGCAGATTCAAGGCTTTATTTATTCTAGAATTAGAGTCACGAGCTGGCTTTTTGTACTTCAAAGTAAGGTGACATATTAAAGCCGAGGGAAGGTCCAGGCTGTGGGTGCAAGCTGAAAGGGTTCCTCCAATGCACATCTCGACTAGTGCCTCCTGCACGAACAGGGCCGGATAACTGCAGCGGACCTCTGGCCTACGTGAGCTCCAGCTATTACAAGCCCCTTCTGCTAGGACAGGGATAGAGCCAGTCGTGAAGATCACCCAGCAAAACCTTACCGCCCCAGGTAGCCTGTTACAGTGAGTAACTGTTCCTACAAACCCGAACCCCCAACCCAAATCGCTCAAAGCCTCTTTCTCACACGAGAAGCCCACTGGTCTCTCAACACCAAACTGCCACGTGCTGTGGAAGGAGAGCTGCTCCGAGTTACACACGGGACGCTGACGGGTGCACGGACTGAACAGGGTGCTGCTAACAGCGCCGTGATAGCACGTGCTGCAGGCAGGGACGTGCTGGAGAGAGGAGCAAATAACAGGCGGGGAGCGAGGGCTGGCTCCAGCCGCAGGCTCCCCTCCTCCCCGCGCCGGGGGTGGCAGGGGGGCACTGAGCTGCTGAAGGACAAGACGAGCTCCCCGACAGCAGCGGGAGCTGCTCTCTGCCGTAAGAGAATTCTGTGCTTCCGCCGTACGGCAACATCTCACCTCCCGGGGGAGAAAGCTTGTGACAGGTTTAAAGGCGCGCGTGGAAAGAGGCACCTGGAAGCTTCTCCGGGGAAATGGCTTGTTTGTCAAAAGCAGCGGTAAAGGAGAGGTATTATAGCAGAGCTTACTTGTAAACAGGGAGCATTATTGGCAAAGGAGCCGATAGGTGAGGAGCAATCTCAAGCAGGTTTGCACGCTCCTCAAGTGCTTCTTTCACCATCCTGTACTGAAAAATAAAAGTGCACGTGTGAGTCCCACATTACTCCAATTCTGTCTCCGTGTGCAACATTTAATGAGAAACTGTTTATCAAAGCAAATACCTTGCATAATTTTTACCGTTCTTTCAAGAAGACACTGAGATTTGTTGAAAAATTCAAAAGTTAAGGAAAATGTTTCCCAAGAAAATGAAGTTTCACTGGTTTCATCTTGGTGTCTTGGCAGGCTGGTTGAATAATTTTTTTATTTGAACGTAAAGTGCAATAAAGCCATGTTACTCCTAACTATGGGCAGGAGGCACTTACGGGGGTTAGAACCCAGCCCACGGTACAGCTCCTGTGCCGATTCCCACAACTAAATCCCATACTAACTCCAAGTTGCACATGCAGAAGTGTTCTTTTCCAAATCAGTCAATATGAATCAATATGAAGTTGTTCTTTGGCAAAATAGAAGGTTGACTTCTATAGCTGGATAACTGCATGTTTTATATATTTTTCCCTGAGAAGTCACTACTTCTGTAACAGTGTTACAACCATTAAAACGTAACTTAAGTTAGAGAGGTTTCAATGAGAAGACAAATCAATTTCTCAAAACAAGAATATCACTCTTCCACCAACACAAGTATTCGTAAAAGCATTTCTATATAATCACTCGTTTGCCATCTTTTCTTTCCCCATTCCAACATAAACAGGACCACCACTCACGCCCTCCAAATTCCGATCATCACAGGCAGGAAGCTCTTTTTATTCTGAAGTCAGCCCTGTCTCTGCCTTCCTCCCCCAAAATGTACACAGTCTGCAAGGTACGACGATTAGACTGTCCATAAAAGAATTTAGCAAAAGGCAGCAGCACCAATTCCACTAGACTGGAAAGCTCAACTGGAGAAGACACTTTCTGTGTATGATGGCTGTGGAATACAACAGTCAAGTACTGAAAAAATAAAAAGGAGACTTGGATATAATTGGGATAGAGGGAAGTGTCTACTAGCAATTTTTGCTTAACAACCAGCATAAACAATTACCTGCTCAAAATCCAACTTCATGATGGCCTTCTGAAGATATCTCACTCCACCATGGATCAATTTAGTACTCCTGCTGCTGGTCCCTGATGAGAAATCATCTCTTTCTAGAAGGGCTGTTTTTAGTCCTGTGTTACCAGAAAACCAAATTAACTTCTTAAATTACACAATTTGTATGTAATTCATTAAAGACACTTCTCTAGGGTAGAGACAATCACAAGAAAAATTACTCTGTACATGGATAAATTTGTATTCAAAGTGTAGTGCACTGTCTATATTGTAATGAAAAATTTTAGCCTCCTTCCTAAGGGAAAAGTCAAAACAGAACTTAAACAGAAGCACATTAAAACCTGGATATTTCACAATAGAAAGGCATTACAGTACATTATAGGGGCCATGCTCCCTCAAGCAAATTACAGTTCGTATTCACAGCAGGAACAGAGTATTTTCGCGAATCCTTTTAACTCTTTGCAGCAGCGCGCTCTAGGCCTACCCCGCTCACAGTCTAAACAGCGTCCCAGGGAGGCGGACGAGCGGCACCTGCGTCTGCTGAAGAGGTGCCCAAAGCCAGAGGAGAGCCAGCCCCGGGGGCAGAGCTCACCCGAGAGCACGAGCGCACCGAGGCGGCCCGAGCCACTTCCCCCCCCGGGGCCTTGGCTGGGAGGGGTGCAGGCGCTGCCCCTCCGCCCCGACCCGCCCACGGGAGGCAGAACCACGCGGCCCACAGAGCTTCCCCCGGGGCCCAGGGCGCTTCGGCACTCTGCCGACACGCGGGACGAGGTTGGCCTGGTTGTCCCGCCAGTCGCCCCGAGGGCCAGGAAAAAGCTTTCCGAGGGCGAAGGCGCGGGGCTTCGCAGGGAAACCGCTCCGAAACCACATGCCCCAGTACTGCCGAGGCGGCAAGTACCTGGGAACCCTTCACGTGAACCATGCGGAGGGCCAGTCTGCGTTACAGAAGTCGGCGCAACAGACCCCCGCCATCACCGGCAGAGTTTTGAAGTTCGGCAGGCGGGGAGGAGAGCGAATTCAGTTCGGCGACCGCGACCGCAACCAGCAGCAGCAGCGTGATGACACACATCCCCCGAGGAGAGCACCATCCGCGTGAGAAGTTACCCCTCGGGCCTTTCCCTCGCCCTCCTTGAGGGGTGCTTTATGTTACTGGCTGGTGAACACACGCTTTAACATCTGTTGGTCTCACAAAACTTTTATGTCCTTAAAAATGATCTCATTATTACTGGTAACTTCCAAAGATCAGAGTAATTTATTTTTGTCAAATGTGACTGAAGATTAATGGACACAATCAGAAATAATTTGGCGAAGATATATCAAACACATGAAAAGCAAAATTTGTTGTTAAGCGAAGCAAACATAATAAAAGAGCAAGTTCCATGAATGAACAGCAACAATACACAATTCATTAACCAAATGCCTAGGAATATTTCACACTTCAGAAATCTACTGATATAATCAGAATATCTAGTAAAAGGATAGATATAGATTAACTATAATAATCTCTGTATGCTTTACAACTGCATTTTCTACCACAATATAGCAGAGCCAGAAGTGATAAGATCCTGTTATATTTAATAACTCATGAAAAAAACCCCAACCAAAACACCACGTGGCCATATGTGGGTTCGTATGTACCTCCCAATGGTGCAGACCTTACTGCTTTATTCACTTCAAAATTATCACACCTTCTGGACAAGTATTTTTCAGATCAAACTACAAAACATTCCCGGAGTCAGGTTTTGCCTCTTATTTCTGAGGTATATCAACAGGTTGAAGAACGTGAAGAACTTTATGTCTATCTACTATGTTTTGCATTGTATTTTTTTTCCCATTTTAGTTCCAAACCCAGAAACAAGGTCAACAAATGCAGCAACTGAGGAAGGTTGGTTCCGTCTCTTATTGGCCGATTACTGAAAATAAAACTGAGGGATCCCGTTCCAAGACGAGCTTTTCTCACAAATCTTTTATATAGCTTTTTGAATAAAAATATGATATTCTGGGGGAAAACAGCATTTTAACAGAGCAAGAGCTGACGCTACAGCATCTCCTGCAGAAACAGTACCTATGCATTCTCATCTCTGGAGCTGAAGATCTGTTTTCACTAAACTTGTAAAATTATTTATTCTCATTGAAAACTGTCACATTTGATTAGAACCTTCTGGCCAATTTCAAAGTTACTGTGTGAGGTGGCTGACACAGTGAGTGTAACCGTCCTGTTTTTTCAAATCCTGAACAGAGCTCTTCACATGTCCAACCAACTGCACGAGCTACCGGCCAACATCTGCACGTCTGCTGGGCAACAACCAACTGTCACCACGCACACCTCATCCTCCTACACATAAAGTTAACCTCAATTCTGCTACTTCTAGTAGCTTCTTAAACCAGTTACACAGCTAGTCCCCCAAAAGAGGGGAGATGGGAGCACAGATCTCCTGTATGTACCCTCAGACTGGAAGGTGCCCGTATCAGACACTGAAAATCCAGACTCCCCCAAACCTGCAATATTCTAAGCAGCTACAGTGCATTAGCAGAAGTTGCAAATACCTCACGTTACAAGAAATACGAGCTGGGGAGCCACTGTGCCTCATCTAGAATTCATGTCTGGCCCTTTCAAAACAGCTGCTAAAACTGCTGTGCAAGCCTCATCTTCTCTTTGCTGCAGATGTTCTCCTGCACAAACAAGTGAAATGTGGCTACAGATACACCCGCTAAGGAGCAACAGAGAATGAGAAGTCCATCCAGGAGCATCCAGCCAAAAGGTTTATGTTAGACAACTGCATACAAGCACCTAGGCAATAAAGACTCTGCTGCAACAACAAAATGCAATGACGTCTTTTCTTCAAGTTCATTTTAACTTCCAAGAACAGAAGTTTTATAGCCAGGCATTCAGAGCACACCTTCTCAATCTTTGAGTACTTCTGAAAAGCCAATCTGATAAATTTATTATAAACCATGTAATCCAAGAATAAAAATGCAATTAAATGTTCAAGCCTTACCTCTAGTGACTGCGTCTAAAGCACAGCCACATCCTGTTGCTCCTCCGCCTATAACAAGGACATCAAATTCACCTGTGGTTTGCAGAGCCAAAATCTGTTGTTCTCTCGTGGGGAAATGGCTCTTTATTGGAACAGTCACAGCTTCTGCAGCCTGAACATGCACAAAGGCACCCTACAAAGATTGAAAGCATCACGTGAGGATCTGTATTTATTGTGTATACACACACACAACCAAATCACAGCATCTTCTACCCCATAAAGGTAAACTCAAATACTCCCTATCACTTCACCTATATCTAATAACAATAATAATATTGTATTAAAACATTATGGAGCAACAAACAGTACCAAAACCATAAAGGGTTAGCACACATTTATTTCATCTTGCCTACTTCAATATAATGCTGTACTCAAGTGCTACTACTTATATTAATTATTTCTAGGAATAGTCTTCTGCTATGTCAAATGTTACAGGATGCTCGGGAAGTATTTTAATAAAGAGACACATGGCTAGGCTCTCAACTCTACCAAAAAAAATCCATCAAAGCAACGGACTTAAAAGATGAATGTACATTTTGTATTTTAAAATTGATTACTTGTACAGTGGCATTAATCTAAGCTCAGATTTGATCAGGTTCATGAGATGATGTGGTTTACTGTCAAATATAGTATACTAAAACAAAGAAACACTATTTCCATATCCTTTTGAAAACCTTCTAAGCAAAGCAATTTACACCCTACAGCATGCTAAAATACAACTTTTCTTTAAAGCGACAAAACGTAACGATGGGGCAGTTTCCAAACAAGTTCCGATTTTGCTGGAATGGCCTTGAGAACCTCTCTAGTATTCTGCCTGATACTCCATGAGCCAGTGCTGCTCTCCGTTTAGTGGCTGTGGTGAGAAAGGCCAACATGCTTCTGAGTCTGCTAGTGTGGTCCATGGTTTAAATTTTAAGGTTTTAACAGAAGACAGCCTTCAGAAACTGGTTAACATTAAATTAAACTGTATTCTGAGAACCTTTACAGTCACTGGAATCCCCAAACCCTGTTACTGGTTGTAATCTGCCTTACAAGCACCATCACTGTGGGTTCATATTCATCACACTAATTTTATACACAGTGGACTGTAGGCAAATACCACAGTTATTCAGACAGTTAAATAGGGTGCAAGATGACAAAAGTCATGCTTGCTTTCTCTTTGCTTTCAGCGCTAGCTTTGCTTTTTGTTCCAGCTCTTTTCCTCCCAAATTTTCCTCATTTACCGCTGTCCCTCATTCTGCACAAAACTAGACAGTGAATTTCTCCCACTGCTATTATTTTTTAAGGCCTGAAGGACCCATCTTCTCCACAACAGAGTAATCACCTGCACGTAAGTGTACCCAGCAGACAAAGCAGCTGCATTTACAGTGTCCGAAGGCCAGTCGGGGTGCTGGCCTCCGAGCCGGAACACCCGCAGCACATCCCAGCTCGGCAGCAGACCCCCCACGACCCTGAGAACACCCCCTGAGCCAGCTCTGTCAGAAATAACCAGATTTTTGGTGCTCTGAGCTTTGTTGGATTGAGAGACGTGCTTTTATTAGTACCTAGCACTTCCAAAAGGAACTGTTTGAAACCCTTCTGATTTCAAATACCTACATGAAAATAAATAAATGGTTATACTGCCCAGGTGAGGGCAGAACTGGCCGCTTCAGAATGGATCAAAATAAACAAATAGGAAATTAAGAATAACTCTCTCATTGTTTCCTAAAAAATATAAACACTTCCAACACAAGTAAAACCTGTTTAGACCTTATAGTCCGAGGTCTGACGATGACCCAACTCTTTAGTCCAAATGGCAGACTCAACTGATATAAAATAGCTTGTGTCCAGATCTCCTGGACAGGATGAAGTAAACTACTGCAAGTGCAAGTAACAAACCACAAAACACTACTTCCTTACTATCACCTAAACCAATCTATTTGTCTAATCTCTTTCCATCCACAGCTTACAATGTGCAAGGAAGCTCTCGCGTTTAAGTTCTTATCTCCAAACGCTCCTTGAATAAACTGAACCAGGCAAGTCGTTGAGCTGTTCCTACGACTTCCTTGCTTGTTGCGCTGTTAACAGGGAATTCTGGCGGCCACAGAAAGCGCTCCCGGGGAGCCCAGCCAGCCCCGCGCTGCAAACACACCGTCACAAGGCGCCGGTTACCCTTCCTCGGCCTCGTACCCTTGCTCAGCCCACGCGCTGACTTCCCCCGAGAGACGCTCCCGGATCCCTGCGGCTATGAAAAACTCTGCTAACGTCAGCCGCCTCCAGGTTTTAGGAACACCAGCCACCCGCCCCGGCATTTGCAACGGGGAGGGAACGTACACCTGCCGCATTAAAATAGCTTGACTGACAAAGGTAAGGCAGGCGCTTGCCACCATCTGCTCAGGGGTGCAGCTGAGGGGGGTTTCCACGAGTAGCAGCCCGAGCGGCGCAGCTCCTCTCGAGCAGCCTGGCTGTCGCCGAGCTCCGTCAGCAGACGTGCGAGCTAAAGGTAAAAGCGGTTCTGGCGACACGTCCCCCGTAAATTAACAGCAAATCCAGCCATGCACAAGAAGCCTGAGTTCAGATTATATGGTGCGTACAACCTCAATATTTTTGTTCAAAATTACGTGCTCGTTCTTCAGCAGTATTATGATTGGAATGCATTATTTCTCAGTGTTCCTATCACTAATACAGAACTGAAAATAAAATCTAATAACTAGTATCCACATCTAAAGGAAGTGTATATTCAAAAGATAATTAATGATCAGGCTCATCCTGTAGTCACGGATTATATTGACTGTGATACAAGTAGCTCATGCAAATTACTTGGAGGAGCAGCAACCACTTTCATGGCACGTGTTACAACTCAATCGATAAGGAAAGTTGGGCTAGAGAAAGAGTGCTTCGCTTCGTATCAAGGATTTATATCTTCCTGGAAATAAAGTGAAAATTAAGACTTAAACCAACCAAAGTTTGGCGTATTATGACCCAAGCGACAGTATTACCAGTGATTTTTCCCAAGCACGGTGCTCGTGGTTCCCGCTGGGGTCACCCCAGCCCAGCCAGCGCTCGGGCACAGGCTCACCCACGTGAGCAGCCGCATTAAACCCCCGGCCAACTGTGGCCCAGGCTTAGTCACCGACTACAAATGAACAGTAACGAAAGGTCTCCTAATTAGAAGCTTGTTTAAACCCACCGCAACCCTCAAACAGAGACAGCCACGCTGCCAGCCCCAGGAGTTACGGGACACACACAGACAGCGGGGAGGTCGAGTCGAAGCGAAGCAGAGGTGAATCCTGATGAGCCTTCCCAGTTACAGCCTCCCCTCGCTCTCGCGCCTTTACACACCACGCGGGGCAGCTGCCAAAGGTCGCCAGAGGAGGTGCAAAGTTTTGGCTCTGCAAAGAAATTCGGCTCCCACGTTATTCTTCAGACCGATAAATCCTGGACATTCCCACCTATTTTTGCCTCTTGCCCCGCTCTCTCCCCAGCCTACTCGCTCCTAGCAGCACTCAAAACTTTTACATCCCCCAAAGCACGGCAGAAACTTTTATATCCCTGAAGTGTGGTACACTGAGGCAGCTCCAGAACGTTTTTTTCTCAGGCGGCGATGGACCCAGGGCGGGTTCCAGCCACTCCTGCCGTCACTCCTTCCTCCGCGGCCGTGCAGACGACCCTCCTGCCCCGTGCAGCTTCCCCTCCCAAAAGGGGACGAGAAGGCAGCACGTGAAAGCAGCTTTTTGCCCCCCTGGAATACCTGAAAGCTGCAGGTTTCTGGGTTGGGCAGCAAGCGATCCTGCCTGGCTCCCTGCAGAGCCCCCGGGGTGAGCTGCGGCATTAGGCACGCTGCCAGTGCTCCGTCATTGCAGGGCGCGCAGGCAGGCAGTGATGCCGATCTCCCAGCTCCCCAAGCATCGCCCTGGGACTTGGAGACGACAGGGACAAGGTGGAAACTGTGAAGACCAAAACCACCCGGGGCTTAGTCTTGCATCTGTTTTGGTTGATCAAGTTCAGCTACATGTGCTCAACTTCCTTAAACTTTAAGAAAGTGAAAATGCCCCACCTCAAAACAAGTTTGGCACTGTGTTTCCAGACATGCCTTCTGCAGCAAAACAAGTGACTATTTTCACAGTGCACAACTTGGCTTCAGGAAAATGAGAAGATAGAAGAAAAAAATGCACAGTTCAAGAAGTACTAGCATCGTTTAGTTCTGACCGTATTTTCTGTTTGGTTTTTAAACCCATTATGTAGAAACAAATGGCTTCTAGTAAAACACAGAGCAGACTCCCAAGCAGATAGCCACTGGTATAGCAAGAGCATAGAGATTAGCACTGAAATATAAGCAAAGTGATTAGTGCACCAGGAATTGATATAGATATGATTCATCTTGCTGTCAATTAAATGCGAGAGTGAAGAAAAGCTGCATACAGGGATTCCATCTGCAATAACGTGATTAGTTTGGCAGTGAACAAGTATGTTTACTGAAATAAGCAATTGCTGTTTATATCTACAATTTCTCAGGCAAGAGTTCCTTGAATGGTTTTGATTACACTCTTAGCGAGAAGAAATTTAGTTTGGCAGTTTGAATTTAATCATGAAGTTATAAAGTGATCTAGTAATCCATAAGCAAGCATTCTTGTTAATTTGCTAATGTAAATCTCCAGGTAGGTTTGCAGAGTCAAATTCATCATCCTTATTCATTAGAAAAAAAAAAAAAGGAAGTAATTTAAAAAACCAAAAGCAGGCCCCGATGCATTATCATATTATCACACTCTACTGGGTTCACCTTGATGAGCAATTCCTACTGACCAACGTTGTACTTACACACCAGAAAGAGAGAAGGATTTGGTGGGCTGTTAGGAAAAGACAGCAATCTCTTACAACTCCAAAACAAAGCCATGCTTTTTCCCTTCATGATTATAGGGAGTGGGGGGAAAAAAGCAAAAAAAAAAAAAAAAAAAAAAAAAAAATCATCAGTGGTCTCCAGTTCAAACATGGCACATCAAAGAATACCCACATCATCTCTAGTACTGGCCCACTTGGCTCGATGCATTAAAATAAAGGCACAAAAAGCAAGAATGACAATTCAGTCAGCGTCTACAGGAAACAAGAGAAACTGGTATTTCCATTTCTCTATCACCCTTAGTGTTAGAAGCGCTGGTGAAACAGCTAGCAAAGGCTGGCTGTATCACCTTTGCCATCCAGGTACCTGAATATCTGAGGCCAAATCAATCAATTATGTACACAGCTTGTGTATTTTGTGTCACAGAGGGGTCCAACTTCAACTCAGATGCAATTCTTCTTTTCAAGAGCTCATGGTTGGTAGTCAATGGAGCACACATGGGTTTGAGAGTTTCTGTCCTGTTTAATGTGAAATACATTTACAGTGGTAGCAACTGAAAAAAACTATGCACACTTTCGCTTTAATCAAAAACAGTTCAGAGGGACTAGCTTCTTCAGACCTCTGCACTACCTGCTGTGAAGAGCTCCCCAAATGTCTCCTTTTCTTTGGAGAAGTCAGTAAGGCTGCACAGGAAGCTTCACCAGCTTCCCTAAGAGCAAGGGTTATTCAGTATGAAAGAACCACTCCTGCATGTTTACTGGAAGAGGTTTTGCTTGAATTACTGTCATTCCTACTCACTCCCTTACACACAGCATTAAGGTAACCCAGTTTATTAATTCAGTAAAAATCCCAATGATCAAGTTACTATAAAAGAAACAGAAGTGCAATATTCATCTATCAGTTCATGAGTCAAATTCAACAACAGTTCTGTTGTGTCAACATGTGTTCCCATCCTCCCTTTGCCCAGCAGGAACTGTGTGTTGTCAAAAACCCCAAAACACAGTAAAGGCAATTTAAACTGCTTGTATGACTGGATATGCCATACGTAGATCTATATTCTCAGGTTATATTGCTGCAATCGCAGTTGCAGAAATGCGCTCCAAAATGTCAGCACATGTGTGTGTGTATAGAAAAATAAGCTGGAATAAAAATCTTGAAAACCAGGACAGATCTGAATCAATGGAGTGTTTTATTTCCAAGGTATAAGCACTTTACTGCCGTTTACAGACAAGGTTAACCATGCTAACTGTGCCATTCTCCTCCGTCGGGCTTTGACTCTCAAACCCAGAAAAGACAACTTAAATTTCAACATCAGAAATTGCCAATATTCATCCCTTTTAGTAGGCAAACCCCTCACCAGTATGTTCGACTAACAAATGCAGATGACCTCCCACCCATTCGCAAGGGCGAGAACTTCACCACCCTTCAGCCTCTCCCTTGGAATTACCTGGACAGCCAAGTTTCACAGAAACATCGAACACCAGCTGAGTGAACATGGAAAACAAAGAAAGACAGATCAACCGGGCTGTGTGTTCAGGATTATTAGCCAGCTGAGGTCTTCATTCTGTAACTGGGTGCCCCTGATTCCAGGACGCTGGCCACAGCACAGACATCCTGTCCCTAAGTGAAGCAATACGGACATGGGTAAAAAAAACGAGCATTGTATTTCTGTCTTATTATGTGATGGATTCTGCTCCTGAAATAACAACAGATTTCCTACAATGTGTAGCCAATTAGTGCACATCTTGGGGCAATATCCTTCTCTGGCAGAAGAAGACAAGATCTTTGCCCTAGCATATATTTGATTGGCAGGCATTATTAAAAAGAGGACACTTGGGCTGGGGGACATGCCCACAGCTTAGATATGTCAACACGACAAATGGACTGTCCTCCTTTGTGTCAATCCCTCCAGTTATGTTCCACCTGCTGCCCTATATTAGGTGTTTAAGGCAGCAGCTTTAAGGGACATCACGTGGGAAATGTGCAAGTTAGTACAACATGAAAACAACACGCTGTTCACTTGACAGATCCATTTGCTTACACATATGCTGGAAATTTTCAGATCCTTTGTAGACTGATCCTACACAATAGGTTTAGAATTTGAGGGACAAGCCCTTATTTCATTTTGACACCATGATCACCTTTCGTAAACTTTGTTTTTTAATCTGTCTCTGGAAATTCACAATGGCCGTCCAAAAGCCATCCATTCCAAGAAAAATGGGAATTCCCTGAATTCTGGAATACTGCATATGGATCGAGTTAGCTATCCAGATCATACTTCCCTTCCAACTCCTTCTCTTATTTAACAGTCCTAAAATTTGAGGCTGCCATTTCTGACAGTAATGAAGCCAGATTGTAAAATCCTGTGATAAAGACTCCAGAGAGAGTTAGAAACAGTATTATCAGCTAGGTGCAAGACAGGCAGCCCAATGGGAAGCTCACTTTAAATGCTAGGTTTTATTTTCTGCAACATTTTTTCTGAAGCCATAAGGATCCTGGCTTATCCACTTTCCAGCTAGGTTCCCCAGAAATGACTCATCTCATTTGCTTTACCCGTACCTCAGCTGCTACTCCTCCTCCCCACAGAAACAGCCAGAAGATTCAGATTATCGTTTATTCAGACGTAATACACACCTCCATGGAGCTCAGTGAAGACTGTCTCCCATCACCCACTGTTTTACCTTCAACTAGACCATTAAGATCCACTTCTGTTCCTATTTTCAGTTTGCCCAATTTGAATGGCAACTTATAGTAAATGTGTGGTAACTAAAGTAGTTCACAGAGTAACAGCTTGTCTAGATAAAGAGCTGACTGATGACACTTCTAAGGTGAGAAGCAGAAAACACCACGCAAAATGAGCACCTGCTAACCTAGCTGCTCAGACTGATACCATCTCAAAGGCAGGAGGAGGTAGCTCCTCGGGCGAAAGCTTTCTCCAAACCCAGACTGAAGCAAATCAGGCCACAGCTCTGACTACACCTACTTGAACCATTTTATGGAACACTGATGGCAAACATTTTCGGCCAAATGCGAGGTGCCAGCCTAACAGCCCACATCTAACACAAGATCAGGAGACACGTTCCCTTACACACACCCACTAAGCCCAGACATGGTTACTTTATAAAACGCTAAAGCACAGCACAACTGCATCAAAACAACGGGCGTTTATTTGCTTTAAGACAAAGAGTAGTTGGTGGTCCCCACTGGCTCTGCCTAAAACCAGTCCACCACTCATGTTCCTTTTACTGATTTCCTCTTGGCTCCTGCATTGAGAAGCGAGTTAAAGAGCGCGGCGACTCCGACCCTACTGTGAGGAGCAGCTATGCCAATGAAATCTATTTTCTACAACAACCAGAATCAATAGACAAACTGACACTGGAATCTACTGCACCTCTTTCCACTACCGCTACTTTACTTTAACAGTAGGTCTCCAACATCATCCTTCACTGCTCGGGGAATTTATTCTGCCTGTGTGCCTCAGCTACAGCTCCGCACTGTGCCTCCCTCGAGCCTACCAGGGTCTAGGTTGTGCCCACCCAGATAGAAGCCAATGCCCACCAGAAACAACCGGAGCCTCGCCCGCCATTCACTTCATTGGCACAGATCCTACCCTCAAACAGCCTTCAGCTTTTTGAACTGAACAGGAGCTGGCACCATGACTGCTTTGAAGCTGAAATTTTCAGAGGTAATGCTAGTGGTTTGCTTCAAGCTTTGAAGTTTGAAAATACTGTCCAAACTCTACTTAGTGCTTACACTTCAATCAGTACTTTCCACTCCACCTGCAATTAAGTAAAATCCCCAGTAGTCCAGAAAGGTAATGTTTTAAACATGAAAAATTATTTACAAGAATCACACTTCCCCACTGGTTGAAGACCTACAATAGTGAAACATCATTTAATGCCATGCTTCAGATTAGCACCTCCCAAATCAAGCTGAGAGGCTCTTGGCATTCCTTTCCAAACAAAACTATTCGTATAAACCTAACATACGCTCAAACAGATTTTAAGTTTCATATTTTATCAGAAATCATAATTAATACTTACGTGTTTGTTTCTATACTGAGAAAATTGAGAGAGGCCAAAAACTGTTGCTATGGCACCTCCTCCAATGAGAGCAGTTCCTTTCACTGCCTTCTGAAATGCCATTTTTTACTGTAAGAAAAGAAGATAAAAATTAATAGGCACTTTTACCATGTTAGAATCTAGGCTACACAGAATAGACCATTTGTAGAAACTAATGACAATGTTGTGACAAGTTGAAACTTAGGGTAGCGATATATTCATTAGCAATTGCAATATTAATAATTTCTAAACAAATTAGTCTAGACAGAGGCAAGCCAGAGTGCTCTGGTATTTGCTGTGAGAGCTGAACGACAAAAGAGTATGCAGATATGCAAGTAGATATGTACACACGCCCCCCATTTAAACTCTAAGTACTCGTATATGTGACAAGTGCTTACAACGCTGTGGCAAAAGCAGAACAAGAACACCCCGTCGTCAGCCAGATGGCCACCAAATCCTTACCACAACACAACAGCTGATCTGCTTGACAGGATCACCTTTAGCTACCCTCCCATCCCACCAAACTACTTCTACGATCACGTTTCCCTAACGGCACTCCAGCTTGCTTTCGAGTCTGGAATTGTTCCCGGTACACCAGCAAAGCTTGTCCTACCCGGGAATGGTGGAGAAGCGACTTGGTGCTGGTCAGGAAGCAGGTCCTTCAGCGAGAAGCACCAGCAGAGACAGCAGACAAGAAGAAGTGGCTTGAAATAAGCGCAGAACTTTTATCATCTAGCTACAGAGGGATTAAAACTAGCCCTATGTGGGTCAGGCAAATTCTTGAAAGACCCAGTGTTCGGATCCTGAATGAAAAATTTGCATGGAACTGACCTGAATCTTAAGCAGGCACAACCTAATCCATCTTCCCAGGACCGCGGCGGCTCGCATCGCATTAGAAACAACATACATCAAGTCTGAAGGACTGCCGTCAGCGCTCCAAGCCCTCCGGTTATGAAGACATCTTTGTCCAAGCCCCACACTCACCCAGCACTCGCCACACAAGAGATTTAGCACCGTTAAGGCTTCCAGCAGAAGCAGGCAACGTGTACAACCCCCTGCCAACGCCGGAACACCAGCAGACTCACAACGCGGCCGGAGTGGCCGCGAGCCAGGAGCGGGGAGCCGCGGGGCTGGATGTATGTACCACGTGCAAGTGATTATTGTACAGAAGGCCACAACTCACAGCTTCCCACAAGTTTTTCTGAAGAGCAGCACGTAGGCTTGCCCTCCCCCCCTCCCCCCCCGCCCAATTAAAAAGTAAAACTTCCCCATCAGCTAAACCCTACCACCTTAGATCTGTTAAGACAACTTTTTGTATTATCACTTCTATATACCTGGAAACGCCTACAGATACACATGGAGTCGTAACGCAACATGAAATTCAGTACTGCACCAGAATTAAAACAGCAGCTGGAAAACCTGCACTACCATCGCCGCACTCATCGTCTCCTGCAAAATAAAAAAACTAAGACAATCAACATCAGTTCACATACCGTCGATAGCCACACGAAGCATATGGTGATGGTGAATACGTACACATCATCCAAGCACTCGGCGTACTACTCGCTTCTACCATAAGGCTTCTTCAAGTCGCTAGAATAATAACTCATCTTTCAGACTGCAAACTGGTGGCAGCCTTGAAGTGGTTTCACACACCTTACGCATCAGCAAAGTAAGAGTATGAAACCCTTGCAAGTGCCTGTTCTGGGAACACAATATGCTCTAGAATCCAAGGGAGTTTAAAAAGAACAAATTAGCATCTTCCAGCAAGCCGGCTTACACGCCTGCTGAGATACTGGCTTTCAAGAAAACAAATGGAAGTGTACCCTTTCGGTGTTGGACCCGGTTCAGTCAGGAAGGACGGCGGCTGAAGCACAAATCCCTGCTCAGCCCTGTTCAGTGGAACTCTTTGCAAGTCCATTAACGATGAGCAAACGAACCGAGAGCCACAGCTCAGCAGCTGGTGCTAGATGGCAAGTGCAGTCCAGCGGGCTCCTAGCCACGTGCCGAGCACCCAGGTTGACACCAATCGTCGCTTCTTGGCCCCCGGCCTCCTTGAACCAGTGCTGAGGCTTCATTTTGCAGAGCAGGTGCCTACCTACCAGAGTCAAACCCTTACATTTTCATTGAGTAGACTGAATTAGAGCAGCACAAGGTAGGCAGACCGCTGACTAAAAGGCTCAGTGATCACCGCTTACACCAGCTCACTTTAAAAATGCAGTTTCCCAGACACCTTGGGAAGTCATTTATTTTTGTTTTTAAAGCAAGGAAATCACAATCTTTGGACTGCATGCTTGACTGGGCCTTTTAACAAACATTTTATCAATACTCCTAAAAAGACCCCCAAACCCCTAAGCTTTTAAAACTGAAGAAATATTGTAGTTATTTGACCTTTGTAGATTAAAAAGCACTTACTGTATCAACCTATATCTACTCTCATAGTGAATCACACTAGAAGTATCATTGCATATACAAACAAAAAACAGCATGAATCCCCGCAAAGTTGCGTAGCAGATTTCTAAGTTGTCTGTACAACAACGCTGCACAAACTTATGAAAGTACTCAGAGGAAATAAACTCAACACTCACCACAATTCTGAGGTACACAGATAGCCTGATGCTATTTTTCAGTAGTTTGAAGTACCTATTCTTCTCCTGATAACTTTATTGTTAAATAACACCTCAAGCAGAACATGCTTATGGGTGGAATAAAAGCTGTACTGGGCCAATGCTGGGAAATACGATAATGGCTAATACTATGTCTGCTCTTCACGTTCAGAGAGCTCCATCTCCTCCGTCTCCACCTCCCAACAGGCCTCTGCAAATCGCAGGACGGACCCACGGCCTCCGGTTGCAGCGGCAGGAGCTCCCCATGCCAGCTCCGCCGTGCCGACCCTCCCTCCACAGCCCCTGCCCTACCGCCACGCTCGCACCCGCGACAGGCGGCCTCCCAGAATGGGTGCCGTGGGCTCTCCTTTGTTAACTGGGAGAAACACTAGTTTTTCCAGGTAAGAGAATTCGTTTAAACAGACAAACAGCAAAACCAACAAAAACCCCCGTGCTCCCGCATTGCTTACTTTGATCCAGAAAGCTTCGAAGCACCAGCTCTAACACAATACTAGAGAGGCAAGCAAACAGCCTTTAGTTAAGTTACCTATACAAAAACCTCTATTAGAACCCAACAAACTCCACTGCCAACTGCATGCAGTATTCCTTCGCATATATAAATAAAGGACAGTCAGCCTTCAGAAGTTAAATGATTATCAAAATCAAACAGAAGTTCAACTCGGAATTGTTTTCTTGAAAATTCTGGACGAGATACAAAATCTTTAGAATGGTGCCTGCTTACCACAGTCTTTTGGCACACTAACCTTTTTCCACCTTCAAATTTCTACCAGTGAAACTTTCTGCAGAAGCCAGTGCAAGCAACGCGACACCCGCAGAAGCCTGCGGAGCTCCAGCGGCACCCGAAGGTGCTGACACCCAACCACGGGCAGGGCGAGGTGGGGAGCCCGAACTCCCAGTGCCTCCAGAGCTGCCTGCGCCCGCGGAGCCAGACACGGACGGGCACCGGTAACGAGGGGGGAGATCTGGGCACACGGATACCCCGGGCTGGAAGCCGCGGCAGTGCGGAAGCTGCTTCAGAAGCAGCAAAGGCAATAACCTGGAGGGAGGATCCGGCTGGACCTCACCTCTGCTGTCCCCACTTAACAGCCTTGGAATACAAACGTGGTTGCCCACAGCTGGACCCGACTGCCCCGGAGCTTCCACCCGCAAGTGAGCACAGTTTTTTCGCTGCGCATAAGACACCGTGCAGAGAGCTGTGACAAGCCTCTCTGCTAACGCGACCTGTTTACGGCAACTCAGTCGGCACCGCGGGCGAGCTCCGGGCACTGCCACGGCGGGCACGAAGGTACAGGCACCGCGGGAACGGGGCTGGGGATCACTCCAGCAGCAGCACCTTCCACCAGTCTCACTGTGGATACAGCTGCCCTAACCCTGCTAAAGTGAAATTAGATCTGCCACAGAGAATGATGCTGCCACTCTCATTATGCAAGATAACATAAAAAAATGTAAAGAAACCTGCAGGCTCAGTGCCCCCCAGACAGGAGGGATTCCTAGCCTCAGCCATCAGCTGTCGGTGAGGGGCTACCCTCTGCTTGTCTGACCACCGAGTACGCGAGTCATTAGCTCTGCTCAGAGCCGATAGCTAGATTATATGCAATTCTCTGGAGAAAGGAACACTCCCAGGAGACCAGCTGCTCAAATTGCCACATAAATCTTGCTCACCATCAGTAAGAGAAGCTTATTCAAGGACAGAAAGGGAAATATGGCTTAGCATAAGCCACTACAACACCAAGCTAGTCAGGCATTCAAACCTACAGACAGTGCTTTTACACCTAGAACATCTCAATTTCATCCTGGGAACCCACGAGCCCACATTTGCGAGCTATGAGCAGAGGTATTTGGATTAAGCTGAACTGAGTTCGGGGCATTAGCTGGTACCGCAGGCAGGCAGAGCCCCAGACAAAGAGCCGGCAGAGACACGGTATATACGTGCCAGGCTGCCGTGGGCCGTGCTCTGCCTCAGACTCCTCGGTGGGGCCCTGCTAGGCCATATTGCACCTTCTCCCAGCCCAAATGCTCCTTTCCGACAGGAACGGCGTTGCATGTGGGAAATGGCACACAGCAAGGTCTCCTCCAGGCAGGAGGACGGCTTACACACTGCCCCGGCGTACACGTAACCAAAGAGAAATTAAAGGCTCTCTCAACATACACTTGGGGGTTTTTCCTCAAGTTCTGTCCCAGAACGGCTGCTAAGGGCTACTGTCGGCACCAAGCAGGATAAACCAGAGCACAGAGGATGAAAGGGGAAAGAATGCAGTCCACATAGCTACAACAAGGTGCTATGTACACAGAGAAGAGCCTACACTTAAAAACCTCTCATCTTCTGCAAGGAGGTAATAAAACTCGACTCTCTGCCAAGCTGAGATCAATAGCTTGTGATGGAAATGGGATTTTATTTTAATGAAAATTATAATAGCAAACAGCATGAGATGCAATACAGTCAGAAATAAGTCATCTTTCCAT